CTAACCGAATTGGACTGCGCCAAATTCCGTGCGAGCGACAATTTTCGTTACGACAATTTAATGTAATGTTACGTGTGCGCCTTGCATGCATATGAAAAGCACGTTTGTAAGTTCACCTCGTGGCGTCCCGCTTCTAGGAAATCGTGGAATCTGGAGCGAATGTAGGAAAAAGCGGTTATTGCGGTGCACGCTAGGTCGTGAGATTTTTATCGGCGCCTCGTGGCTATATTAACCTTCCATTATCCACTTGCTACGCGCGCGCTCGCTCCCAAAGGATCTTGCATTCCGTATACTTGAATAATACAAAGCATGCAAATCGCATTACGTTTACCCTTTATATATTTGGCATACGGACGCCTCAAACCCGCATATTGCATGCGTGGGACGCTTGTCACACTGCATTTGCCTTAGATGACAATCGTATCACCGGTATGTATGTACGTCGAAACAATACCACTCGCCATCTAAATATAAATTCCAGTCGGTAACACCGTCGAGACAGTGCGCCCGGCGCACCCGGATTGAACGCTCTCACTACGATGTTGCAGGTGATCAGGATGCTCTTCGTGATAGTCCTGGAGTTCTTCGTGTGCTGGGCGCCGTTGCACGTAATCAATACATGGTACCTTTTCGCGCCGGACTTCGTGTACTCGGTCGTCGGTAGCACCGGCATCAGCCTCGTGCAACTGCTTGCCTACGTCTCCAGCTGCTGCAATCCCATCACGTACTGTTTCATGAACAGAAAATTTCGCCAGGCGTTCCTCGGGCTTTTCGACTGCCACCGGTGCTGGAGGTAAAATCTAGGCGAATCCGTGCGCGCATTTTCGTATCACGTCTGAGTAATGGCGACTGAGTAAGACGAAGCTCCGCCGTACAAGTCTGTCCTCTTTACGAGTTGTGCCAGTTGGCGGTCGCAGCAAGAGATTAATTTCGTGGAAGATTCATAGAAGAGTTTTCGAGCTTCTCCGCGGCTAGAGGGACTGTAATTATGCAACAGCCGCTCTCGTGCTCTCAAGCTTGAAACTTGTTAACGCGCTCAGTTACTTTGAAATGCTCTCTAGAACTCTGAGCTTTTCTAGCGCTTTTAGACGCTCTTCAACAAAAATCGCAAGAGAAGAAGAGAGTAAAAGAATTTGCTCTATGGAGTACTTTTGAAAGCAGGACAACGCACATAAAATTCAAAGTTACACAACTCCTATAGAAGTTCCGCGTGTTATAAAATTGCACTGCTTATAAATATCGTATAATATATTTTTAAGAATATTTCAACAAAAAGAATTCATTGATTTAATTTCGAGATGCGGGAAAATAATCGCGCGAATTAATGAGTGATATAAACGCTGCTGCGAATACGCGTTCGTGTAAAACAAACGTGCGTTTTATTTCAGGATAGATTGCAGACACAACGACATCGCAATGGCAACCACCGGAAATGTCAGCCAAGCTGGCAATAACAGCGAATTAAGCGGAAACGACTCAACGGTATATCTAGGGAGAGCGTCCCTTGTCGCCAGATCAGGTATCATTATTACTACTAAATTGATCGTTTCATTATTTTCATCCACAGATCCGATTGCAACACCAATCATAATTTCCAAGATTCCGTCATGTTAACGCGACACTATAACAGCTTAGATTCTATCAAATTATCTTGATAATTAATCTAAGATGAATGACAAAAAATACGTGACGTCATAATTTTTTGACATTTTACCATATCATTTTATGAGATTTCTGCCAAATCAAAACTAATATCAGTTCAATTTCACACCGTGCTTGCTCGAAATGTATAAATAAAATAAACGTGAAAGACATTTTTCTCTTTAGTCTGATTAACAAATTATTAAAGAGCACCAAGGGATCGATAATGGTCCGCCGCGGACATTCGTTAGTTTCTCATACCACACGTTAAAGTTTGAGTGTGGAATATCCGTGATGCTAAATTTACATTAACCGCGTATCGGATGTTTCTCTGAACTTGCGAATAAATTATTAGAGTCCCACTCTAATTCCTAATTGTCTCAAACTTAATTATTGTATTCATCCTACGAGAAAATATGCTCGGTAACTGATAACGCAAAAGTTATCACGATCACACAGTCTTGCTTCAGTAGCCAATATATATATTAGTAATATTTTAATAATATTTTGTATATAATATAGAAAATTAATGAAGCGTATATTATATTATCCATATATATGTAAACCGATACTAAATTTTGGAACGCACCATATGCTATTACAAACGCAAATTGAATATACAATAAAGATTAAATTGCCTGAAAATTAATAGCATCGTTAATTTCCAACAAATATATTGAAAATTGAGGACATTCTTTTGTCGAATAAAGTATTAAAAAACATTAACTTATACCACCCGAACGAACTAATCAACTCATAAAAGATATAAAAATATAATTATACGAAAAAGAATCTATTTTAAAATATAATTTTTCGAATATAATCATTTTATAATATTAAAAGATATTAAACAATAAAATTTTATAATATTATTCTACTAAACTTAATATATAAATTGTTCTTCAAAATATATAATAATTAATTCCCAATATTAATTTTTATTATATATAGCATATCCAGTGCAATAGAAATTGAAAAATCCAAAAATTAATTGATTTGTATAATTAAGACCTACACGAAAAATATTCATTCACATAAATGCATGCTCGATTGACAGGTGCGAAAGGATTCAGCAGCACTCTCTAATAATTACGAATTTTTTTAAATGTCGCGGCAGCATTCGAGCATTGTTATATACCTATTGTGGCAATTGGTATAGCACTTAACCGAATTGTACGTGATGCAACAGACATGATTGAATTTCATGGAAACTATATAAGCACTGTTTACTCCGAAACATTTCTATTCGAATTCTGCGAAAATACAATACTCCAGAAAATACAGAACTCCACATCTCCTATCTTTTTTTCTTTCGATGAATAAATGCATTATCCCATTCGCATCTCCGCAAAAATCCATTTCGCCAAGTAAGCATGTCGTAATTTGTTTTACCATAATCTGTTTATCATAATCTGTTTTTTTTACCCATGCGAATATCAATGAAGAACGCATAAATTTGTGAAAAATAAATCAATGTACTTTCGCATTTGAACAAATATATCCCCGCTAAAGTTACAAATATCCGGATAATTTAATATTTAAATTGTTCGAAATAATAATTATCTCATTAAATCCGAATATACATATACAGATAATCCGTCTTAATATATACAGATAATCCGTCTTAATATATAAAGAATCAAAAATCTGCAAATTCTGCGATTTTATAAGTAGTTTTATAATACCTTTACTAAATATATTTTAAAATATGTACTTATTTTTAATACAAAAGAACAAAAAGCACAAAAAATTGATATAAAGTATTCTTTATATTTGTATACCTCTGAACAAAAAACTTTGCAGATTTGGATAAATCTAATTTAGAAAATTTTTGAATTATTCACGTCAAATAATTATTTCGAATAATTAAGATATTCATGACATCGTTTATCGGTAACATCCGTATTGCATTTATACCCGTATCTCCCATTTTCACGACAAGAAAATACCATTATTTCAGAGGTAGTACGATTGCTGGAAGAGGAAGATCGTGTCTAGTATAGGTCGTGTGGATTATACGAGGAAGCGACGCGGTCAAATGTATCTCTGCTTCAATCTCACGAGGTGGACTTTTCCCTGAAAATACCCTGGCAGCCGCCCCTCGATAAGGTCGCTTGTCGCGGAAGTGGTAAGGAACTTGCGTGTGTCGGCGCGTCTCATTGCTCATCGAGATCTTCCTGCGTGGACAATCTCAACTTCCTTTACAATTGAATAAAGTGAAATGCTGGTGTAAAGTATCTTTGGCCTAACAAAAATATCAGATCTCATTTTTATAGTTTCAGTTAATTTATGAAAATCAGAATATCCATGAAAAAGCGCGTTGTGTCTTTCGCATCGAATTATTTTTCTATTTTCATCAAACCGATCGTTCTCGCGCAATTAAAAAAAAATTATCTTATTAATGTTTTTGTACAAATTAATTAATGTCTGGCGAAAATCTAACAGAGTAACTTCAAGTTTCAGATAATGAAGCTCATTTGCCACGTACTTACTCTATATCTTAACAAAGTAAAACACTACAAAATTGAAATTAACCGTTGGCAGTAGATCATTAAATCTATAACTCATCGGTATGTCCTTAACGTGGATAGAAGATAAAATACTTCAAAATAATAGACGCAAATATTTAAAAAATTGTATTTTTACATCAGTTTTTACCCTTTAAGAATGATAGTAATATCGCATTCGCTATAAATGCTCGCAATTTTGCAAGAATTACAAGTTCTAAAAAATTAATAATTAACCCAATTTTCAAAATAATGTTTTATACGCCTGCATAAAAAAAGACAAAGCGTTTTAAGCACTTTCGCAGACAAGCTTAACGCAGCGCGCTATAAAGTATATTTATTCAGTAAACATAATTTTATGTGGAAAACAAACACAGTTATGCTATTTTAGCTTAACGCCTACTCATTTACGTTACTTATGGTAATTTCGGAAGACGGTTTTATATTTAATGCTCACACATACTGAACTACCCGAAATTTTATAGTAATTGTGGTTTGCCAGAATAGACCGCGTTTAATTCAATTTTTATAATTTCCTGCGAAAAAAATCGGAAAATATAGTGCTTTAAAAATTGTATTTGACGAAGCGTTCGAAAATTTTTAATAAAATTATCATTAAACATAAATTCATATATAAATGCCACATCATATGTAGTTCACATATCTTTCATCGAGCATATCTTTGATACACCTGTTGCACACGATTTATGAATCTGTCAGAGAATAACTTTTAAATGATAGCGTGAAATACACGACCATGTTGCCATATTAAAACCACTCTTGCTGTTTTCAGGACTCATATTTCTATGATAATACTTCAATGTTATTATTCGTGAAGAGCCATTACCGTGTAACGCAGGCGTTTTCCGTATAAGCATGTTGTATAATATTACAGTAACTGTAGCGTTCTAAAAAATTTATTTTACTTACTCTTCAAATCCATTTGTCGTTTTAAAGCATTTTTTAGGAAACGTTTCATCAACAAGACACTGTATAAAGTAATGATTCTTCATACAAATATCAGATTTCATAAAATTTTCAAAATGTTAAAAATATATCAATGACAAACCAATTATTGAATGGTAATTGAATAACTGTGTTTGTTTAACAATTATTTTTAGTCAATTGTATCCTCTATTACATGATATTTAAATTGTAAGATATATTCTTTATTTATCAGAAATATTTGCAGAGACACGCATCTTTCTATATACAAGAGTATCAATCATTGCTTTGTTACATTGCAAAATATAGAACGTTGCAAAAATTGTATTAAGATGGACGTGACAGCTCAGCAGCATTGTAAGATAATTATTCGCGATAAGATAATTATTGTAAGATAATTATTCGCGCAAAAATGTAAATTGCGCGTCGTCGCAAAAAAAAACAAAATGAATCTCATGGTGTTCTACATTCTTCTGAAATATTCAAGAATGCGAAAGCTCTTCGCGTTGCGAGATATGTAACAAAATAGAATAAGATTTAACTGACTTTATATATAGATAGGCGTTGCGCAAAGATGTTTAATAAACTTTTTTTCAACACTACTCTGCAGTCTAGATTATTTCTTGATCAAATATTTTTCTTCGTTCAACTAATTTAACTATTAGACACACTCTCCAGTTCAACTTTTACTACGACCAACACTAAAAAAGTATTTCGTTTTATCGCTCGCGCACGATTTTTAGTTATGGAAAAAGTTTCGCGCATCGGAATGAATTTCAAATCGAAAGGCAAGTCATAACTTTTACTTATGTTAACAATGTAAAAAGGTACATAATGGATGCGAGAATAATATTATAACGCGCGAACAATAATGTTCCGTTAAAATATTAACTTCATTAATTTTAATTTTACTTGCATTACTATCAAACAATATTAAAAATTTGTAATTTGCAAAATATAATCTGACAAAACGAATATATATCGCTACATCGGCATAAAGCAAGCGAAAGGAGAGTTAATCGTGAAATTCGTATGATACAGTATTTTCTTTTACGCAACACATCGATTTAACATGTATGTGAATAATTGTTTAAAAAAATATATATATATATATATATATATATATATATATATATATATATATCTTTTGTATATTTATATCGAATTTCATTCATTTTGATATTTTCATTGTTAAAAGCCATTTATCACTACAAAAAAACTAATTTTGAACTGCATATAAGGTTTCATCGAAAAACCAATCCCTTGTTTGTTACGGAATGCTATAATTAAGAGAGTATAGAAAATATTTTTTTTAATTGGTCATTTTTTATAGTACTATTCGCCGAGTTATTCATCCAATAAATTCAATCCAATCACTCAATTAATGATATATTCAATAAATCAAACAATGGAATTCTTGCATACGTAGAAAACAGATTTTTTTAAATTCTTTTTTCCTACAATAAAATATGTACACCGAATTCCAAAAATTATTTAAAAATTTAGTTAAAAATTTCTCAATAAAATTCAATATCAAAAGATATCCTTTAATTTTTCTTTCTTTGTATACGCCGCGATCGACTTTCTCTCGAATTAAATAATTTTTACTAAAAAGATTGAAGTAAAACTTGAGTTATATCTAAACGAACGTGAGGTCTTGTAAAGCTTGTAAAGCTAGAGAAGGATATTGTCCCGTGTCGGCCACTTGATCTCGTGTCTTATCGGTCCACAAGGGATTTACCCCAATCCAATTATTAATCACGACCAGTTTCAAGAGGTAAAAAAACTCAAAGGGCGAAAATACTTCGATGATTCACGTCACATGCATTTATCACTCCTACGAGATATATCTAATTCCGTTCTTGTAACAGAAAGTTCCGAAAACAAAGCGAGAACGTGTGACGGAAATAAGCGTCATTGAATAAATTAAATCAAGAGTCACGTGCGAGATAACTTTCATGTTATTTCCGTGGCTTTTTACAAGTTACGGAAAGTTCGACTACAAATATTCAACGAGAAATATGCATCGGGTGCAATGAGAGCATTCGACTATTATATATAACGCATTAGGCTTTTATGGCCGTATTTTGTAATTACCGTTTTCAAAGCCGCTTTTTTTTAATGAAAATGCTCTTCATGACAGGTTTAGTTCAATTTTATTAGCTTTTATTAGATTTTATTAGCTATATACAATCATTCTACGCGCGGTATAAATTCTCTCAGTACCCTCGTAACCGAGATTCTTGAGATACGAGACCGTAAAAACTCTCTGTTTTCTTTCATCATATTTTATATCTGTTTTATCATACCTAAAAATGCTGCACTCCCTTACGTGATTAACAAGATTGAAATTCTTTTTGCTGCGCTGGCAACGAATCGAAAATAACAAGCTCGCATGACCTGGTATTTTGTTTTTTGTGAAAGCTGCATAAAAAGTGCAGCATACAATGCAATTTTTATCAAAATTATAAATTACTGATGCACTGCATTAATTTATTTAATTAATGCATTTAATTAAACCGCACTTTCATCTATTTTATCTCATTATATATATATTACAAATTACTTTTGCGTATATAATTGTACCCATATTATGGCATTTAGCAATATGCAAATTGCAAAGCTTATCGATGAATTATTTGATTATCTAAAATCAGTTAGAAGTAATACTGCTGTTTCTTCCTGAACTTGTCATACATTTTACATGAGAATGAGAACGATGGCAAATCCACTTTAATTTGCATTTCGAATTAACGGTTAAAGCTAATCCGAGCTATTCAGTAATGTAAACCAGATTTAATACCGTTACGATCAGACAGCCATTGTCTAATCTGCCTTCAAAAAACACATGCTTCTTGCAGCTTTATGACCCATATACGTTTTAATTTATATACATTTACAGTGACATTTGTTAACATAGCTTATAACTAATTAGTTGTCACAAGTAAAATTCTGTCTACTTTCAAATAATATGAATTATGAGTAAGAATATATTTTATTTATTACAATCTCTTATAATCAATTTTAATTTGAATTATTAATTAAAAATCTATAATATTCTTCAATATCTATAAAACTTATTCAAATTATTCAAAGATAACCGAATAAAACCAGCGAAATATAAAATATATTCATTTATAAAAGGAATATTTATAAAATTTATGAAAGAATTCATAAAAGAAAAATGTGCTATGATGTGGCAATAGCTCACATTTTGATGTAAAAATAATAGGTTAAAATCATTATCTATGCACAACCAGCTTAATCCGCTTTTCCACTACCAACGAAAAGTTTATCATTCGAATAGCAGGAAGGAATACGAATGTGCTAAAAGGATTTCCTATCTACGTGCACATGTCCTTGGAATTTTAAGAGTGCACAGTTATATTTTGAGATAAATCATCGCGTAGTAAAGAGCAACTTCTCTGTCTTTTTTTTACGTCATCCTATAATCGAGTTCAGCTCACTCCTGCACGTCACACGAATACTTCAATATTTGCATACGTTCTAAAGAGATGCCGATTAAATTACCTTCAAGAACAAGACTTCAGTATCAGTCTTTCAACGACGTTATTATGAAAAATAATAATTTTCCTATTGACAACTTTTGAAGGTTGTATAATGAGATACAGTAAACGGATCTTCTATTATCAAACTACCTGCTTAATATTATATCCGGTTTAAAGTAAAAATTAAATCCAGATATAAAATAAGTTGAAAATATTATAGTTTGATAATTTAGATTATTTTTTAAATATGTTTGTGCCTGGTGATTGAAAAAATAACGCGCGCATATAAAACCAAATAAAAAAATTGGCGCAATATGTTTGTAATATATATGTTTGTTAACGCACATAAATGCAAGATGTACAAAATTAGCCCGATTTATAAAACATGTCGCCAATATAGAAAGAGAATTATGATTCTTTAATTAAAGAATTAATTGTAACGTGTATTGTTTCGATAAAGTTAATCCATAAAATTAAATTCTGCGTATATAATTTGTCTTCAACCCTATATAATTGCTAGAAATCGTAATCAAAGACAAATGATATAAATTCTACCGGATTATCCAGAAAGTTTTGTGCCAATGTAAAAAACCACCTTGAGAAGTTTCTCGTCGGAAAAACTAAGAAATTCAGAAGGAAGATGGAATCAAATTGCATGAAAAATTGCGACAAAAAATTGTCGATCAAACGCATACATAATTGAATAAAAATATATCTGTATGTAAAAATATCCCCTTTGTGTTTCCTCAAAGAATCAGCATATGCCGGATAAAATATTACATTATCTTAGACCGTGATTACCACTTTGTGACTATGTCTCAACAACATCAAGATTCATCTCCGGTTGCAGCATCGCAACGGTATCCGGGCGTGTCCGGTATATATATATCAAATTGATTTAGTGCGGGCGAAGTGCTTTTTCCGACCTTGCGTCTCGTACGGTAGGTGTGGACAATCTTGATCGATCGGCTTTAATACAACTACGTAGCCCAACAGTGTCAAAAAGATAACAAAGAAAAACGAAGAGTATGCATATATATTTTGTAATTTAATTTTTTTTGAATGATCCATTCGTAAATTTTTATTTATGCTACTTTTGATTTTTAAATGTCAAGTAAAAAACGTGATATTATTAAATTACATTATTAATACAATCTGACATATCTTTTATTAATATTTAATAGAATTTAATATGAAGCAAAATAAAGCTTTTCCTCTTTTAATTAATGAAGGTACGTAGTGCACATTGTTACTATTTAATAAAGCTAATCGTATTAAAATATTTCATACGTATAAACAAACGTATAAAATATTTTCCTTCTCACTTGCATGATATAATTGAATGAACATGCTTGGTTTTTTCGCTATAAATTTTTATATTATACATATTGAGCAACGAACAAATATTTTTTTATAATTAAACAAAATGCAAAAAAAATTACACTGTACTGCCGTATATTCCATTTCCTCATTTTGTATTCTCATCTTACTATAATTTGCTTACTTAATTAAAAATTACACTTGCATTGTAATTTACATTAAGTGCGCCTGAAATTTTTCGTGCATAATTCAGTGCTCTGAAGTATAGTATATGTATGTACAATTACTGTATCATACATATTTCTCAAAAAATAACTTTAATAATGATTAAACAAACGCGTTTATTCTGCATAAAATATGATATTATCAACGGTGTTACTTTTCATGTTCTTATCATATATTTATCTATGCCCAGTAAAAAATAAATCAGATTATTAATCGCAATCATAAAATATCACAATTATTTATATTAATATACTTGTATAAATAAGAGAGTTTTAATTTATTTACATGACTATGATTATAGCTCAATTTGGTATGTTAATTTCTTTTGTAGAAGCTAAATATTCACGTTACTTGGATAACGCAACATGCATTGAATTGTGTGTAATAATCCATTTACTTGTTTTATGGATATCGACGCGCGCGCGCGCGTAGATAGATTGATTGTACTTGTTCTATATATTTTGATTAAAATCAATCAACCAAATTTGGAAATTTACTCAAATTAGGTTTTATCAGATGGTCGAGTGAATTAACGCGTACATTCATAATGACTAGAAAAATTTATATAAATATTTGATGTCCGTTGAACAGAATTTTAAGTAGGAAAAGAATTTTACATATCTTGCTTAAACGGAATTTTAACTCTTATTTTAATGCGCAAAACTGTGTGACGTACAGGAAAATACTGGTATATCTTTTTTTCATTGTTATTTATGAGACTTTTCTCTTTTGCTTATATGTAGTTGCGGATAAAGTTGCTTTGATTTATGATGCCGAGCGTTCGGTTTCATGCATAGATCTTTTTCGTGCTCTGATTGAATTCTATTCCTTGCACTCTTTTTTATGTCATTGAGTTGTCTAGACTAATCGTGTTTATTGAATTGTACGCGACGCCTACGCCTCCGACACTAGCAGCAAAAACCGCCCACCCAATGACATCATCCACATTAGCGTGTCCGATGATGTTATCGATAATAAGGGCAACCGAAAGAACACTGATTTAGCTTCAATGACAACTTAATTTTCAATTCCCAACTAACGTCACACTACACGGAGAAAATTTTATATCAAAAATTACTATGTA